TGATCCGATCATGTCAAATATAACCGATTGCAATTATTTTGGAATCATGTCAGATTATGACAATCTGTTTGAGTTGTTTGAGCCAATACAGTGTGATGGAGTGATGGAAATACTCGAAATACACACAATACAACTCTTGCAGCAGTGTATGAAACTATCAAGCATGACATGACATGAAGGGTGTGGATTAGACTTGATAACAATATGTACAATTTGGACTTTTAAATTCGGAAATAGCAGCTCTGTTCCAACATCACATTGATTGTAAATGTCGATGTTGTTTAACCTTGTACAAATGACCATTTCACATGCAACTTTAGCCTGATATCGAGTATTTTCAAATGAATGCAAGCTTGCGACACTCGCTTGACTCGTTTGGCTCGGATTCTGATTGATATTTACGATATCGATGCAAAGTTGCATTCCAGAATGAGCGTGTATAATCTGATGTGGTCAATCGTTTGGTTTCATTGTTATCGGTCATTGACACCAGTTATTGTGTTGATTGCAAATAGTAGTCCAACTAATCATGCATAAACAAATACCAGATAGTCACTGATAAACTGATAGTATCCAATGTATACATGACACATTGTATAGTTACATTTAATTGCCAGCAATGTGTGATTGGATTACTCGAGTCATCAAACAGTCATCAAGCAATTATCAAACAGTTGTCAAAAACAATCAAGTCATGTCCAATAAACTGTCTGATGTGCAGGTGATTTGGCATTGGTCCGTTGGTCCATTAGTACGATTGTTGGTTGACAATTCAGACTTGTAAATGACAATTGATTCTTGATTGTTGCATTGGTGTCCATATGTGTCCATATGTGACTCATTGTATACGGAACAGAACTGACAAGTGTGTCTGAATTGATGACAGATGATACAGTCTATCCAACAAAAAGTAATACATTGATCGTGTTTGCGTGGAAATAAGCTTCATAACTTCCACTTCTGAATGTATGCGAATCAACTTTCAAACAACGGATACGTCCAATGACTCTTGCAAATGCATTGATAGAGTGTTGTTGAATAGTTCGAGTGTTTACAAATCAGCATCACTGGAAATAGTTACTGTTATTCAGACAGTCAGTTGTCCAGACATTACAGTTGTAATACTATCCATGCCTCACCACAGTTGCAACGTTCAGATAGAAATGGCAAAATTAAAACAAGAGCATCCTTCAATATCAGTTTAGTCAAAACATTGGTACTTGTTTGTCTGTATCCCAATATATTTATCAACTCCATGTCATTCATCAGATAATATTGTATAGATTTTGGCAGTGATATCGACAAGATAATCTGTACTAGGTCCAGTCGTATCCATATCCACAACGCACTCGTCCAATCCAATCTTTTCATCAAGACTATGCAAGAAATTCAACTGCATATAGTTTGTAACAATTCCATGCACCGAGTTCAAATGACTAATCTTTGCTGCAGCTTTACATCCAATCAAGTCCTGTGACATTTCCAGTCTCATGTCATCCTTGCTTGCTTCAGTAATATAAACTCTTTCCGCGACGTAAAACATTCAAAGTGACCATGAACCTTTAAGAAATCACCATCCAATCTTTTTCCACTTGTATCTGAACGTTTCGGGTAAAAACAGACAAATGATGAGTGGAGCAATCGAATAAAGTCCGAGACTCATTGCCTGATGTAACTGAATCAAAGCATGTTGTAGCAAACGACAAATAGTGTGAAATATTGAATTTGTTTTCTGGGATTGTTTTTGACGATTGATGTAACAACTAGTTTACAGCACAGGCTTGACCTGATTCCAACATACATACATACAAGTGTTGAATCAGTGGGGGTTGACTTTGTTCTTTTCAAGTATTTGATCGAGTTGCTCTCATACTTTTTTGTTTAGAATGGGATATTTTAAAGTTCGATTCAGACAATGGCGACTCCAGTTGTGAGATATTTGATCCGACGTTGATTACAAGTTGCTGTAATTGTAATGAATAAATGATGATTTCCAGTATTTTGAACAAGAAATGGGCAGTATGGTTGTAAAGAAGGTCCTCGATCAGTCAGTCAAAGTGAGAGTTGGTCAGCACTGTAATAGCCAAGTCTTGATGATAACTCATTGTTTAATTTAAAGTCATCACATCTGTGCAGTCTTGTAGAAACTCTTGCGTTGTTTGACCCGAGTTTGATTCAGAGTTGTCATTTTTGTGGAATCGGTGTCGCAAAACGTAGCAAATCTATAGCTGATAATTCCAACTGCCATTCAAATTGAAATTCAGTTTTATAGTTTATATGAACAAACAAATATCATTCGAATGAACTGGTGTTGTATGGTGCTATTGATATACTAGTAGCATGCTTTTGATCGTACTCGATAACATAAATACAATACAAGACTGTACTTGTTGAATGACAACTTGCTTGGATCCAGTAAAACGACACTCTAGTTGTTTACTGTAATAGTCTGTCACTGTAGTTAGTGTTCAGTATATGCGACACTAACTCAGTGTGACTACAAATACTGGATCCAGTCTGTTGACAGATTTTAATCCAGATGATCTAGATGATGTATATGTAGTTGATTCCAGTTCAATTCTAGTCCAATTTCAGTGAATGGAATGTTTTAATCACAAGTTACACAGCAAATGGTCATGATGCCAACATAGCAAGTTTAGTGTTCAACTTGACAGTGACTGAACCTATTATTCATTATGAATTGGCAACTCGGCGAGTGAAAACCTTGCCGATTTAGAGCATGAATACCGGAAACCAACAACAATCCAGTCCGATTCACAAGACTCGACTTGAGATTGAACATCAAAAACACTTGGGTTGCGACAAATATGGTTTGGAAACATCAGTTTTACAAAACTGGATTCAAGCAACACTACTTGGATGTTGTTCAGTCTGGTATAACTTGACCATATGATGCATCTCGGATCAACTGGTAATGCAGTGGTTTGATTCGGTTCGTTCTACAATGTTGTATTTCAATGATTGTTACAATCTGAGCATGGTGCAGTTGCTCAAGATTCTGGTGCTGAACAACAAACTCTTGAACCAGACCCGACACGTTGTTGCAGCTCAAAGTGGACCATCAACAGTCTCGAGTAGGATATGCTACAATCCAGCGTGTATTGCATGATGGTTTACTTATTTATCTTGCATTCAATCTCATCCATTCAATAACATCATTCATTACCAATACAATGACATGACATGGCATGGCATGCTTGAATTGATCATATTGCACTAATCACTACTATACACTGAATTGATCTACCGGACCCATCAAAACCCATATATTTGTGATTGATCAACATTACGATATTCAAAATGTACTGTTAAAAACAGCTGTTTTTGTGCAACAGCAACCAATACAACTAGGTTTACTCATCATGTTCAACATCACTGTTTGTGTTTTTGTCGTCCGATTTACAGCTACCAGCAGTGTGTGATTCAATGATGATCCCAATATACTTGTAGCAACGTGAACAATAGTGCTGTTTTTGTTCCATAGCAAGCGTGTTGTGCATTTTGAATGTAGCGGTATTCATGTTGGAAATCAAAGACTATTATGAAACTAGAGACTCGGCAGGTGTAGTAATAAAGCTGGTTGTTTATTACAAAGGTATGCATTGATCCATTTATAGCTGATATGATGTACGTCATTGCGCACATCATCCAACTTTGTGTCGTACATTGCAATGGTTCCATAATGCAATGTTCTCAATATACACTACTTGAAACACCAAAACTGTCAATTATAACAGTGTAGACAAGGCACCAAATGATACCAGTTTTGTTGGCCAATAATTACTATTAGATTTGTCCAAGCTTGTCAAAAACAACAATCTACCAAAAATAGGTCATTATGAACAAAAGTCTCGAGGTGCAACAGTGGATAGTCTGTAGTTTGAATGATGGATAGTTTTGTGCAATATTCATACTCGATAGCACAATGGACATAATGAACACGATTGGATTGTTGTATATCTTGCCCATAATTGTAACAATATCCTTGAAACTGGATAGATTGTTAAATGATTGTGTAATCATTACTGATATTTATCCAAAAACAACTTGCTCAATTCGATCGAGTTATTATAGATTTGTACAAATTAATAAATATATTTATTGGGAGGAAATATCAATGCTCATTAAATAATAACCCTGTCATTGATCTCAAAGAAAATAACAACTCCATCCATATCAGGCTGGTCGCACGGAAGACCCTTGATTGGTTCAAGCAAAGTGTTGGGCTTTGAAGCGTCAATCTTGTAGTAAGCCTTTTTTAGAACATGGCCTTTTCTTTGGAATTGAATTTCAAACGATGGAGCTGGAGGATTAAAGTACGAATCTTGAAGTTTTCGTGTAAAAACTAGTTCCACCTCTGCTGCTTCAGGAATCCTATCAATGATATTCACCATTGTTTCAAGGCTGATTACACCTTTGTGATCTTTGGATTCTCCAAAAAGTCCACAGGAAGTCTTCAAATCAATACCTTCCGAGTTTCGAGCTCTTGATAACCAATTAAAGTTCAAACCAGGTATTTGAACAAAATCGGGCCACTTTTGGTTTGGCGGTGAAAGAAAAGGTACAGTAAATGTTATACCATCGAGCCTGTTCAGATCGAGTATAGAGACGTCTTCGGAATCAGGTTTATCAATCTGAAGCTGATATACCAAATTCAACAGAAACGGTTTTAGATCAATTCCCTTGACGCCATTAGAATGTGAAGCCAAACAGACTGTCGAACATAGCAAAGACTCGAGAAACATTCCATCATTGCTATCCTGTACAGCATTCGAAAAGTATAGAATATGGCTGCGATAATCCGGATTACTCTTGGCTTTCATCAAAAAATGTGCATATGGCACCTGCTTGCCATCCCCTGCATAACAGGCGGAAAATCCCTTTCCACCCATCAACAGCAGGTAAAGCAAAATATCGTTCTTTAGCTCTGGAAACACCGAAGACGGTTCCCAAGAAGCAGAATGGTCTTGAATACATCCATCATTCATCAATATAAAGTTTTTTTTTCCATCTAGCTGGGCAAAGTGTGAGTGAATCAATGGAGTCGATTGGTTTTCCAGATTGGTCGATTGGCTTTCCAAATCGGTCAGTTGACAGTGAGCGTTATGAAACAGCCGAACCTGTCCAAGTTGTCCGTAAAGATTTCCAAATATCTTTTTGACTGATTTCAGTTTAATAAACGCTGCTTTCATCAATTCGTCAAAATCTGAAGCATTGTTTGCGATTTCTTCTGCGACAAGCTGCGCAAAAAGTGGCCTTGAGTTGAGTATGATAGATTTGAGATATCTTGGTAGTGTTTGTGGCAATCCTGTTAGTTCTAGTTTTACTGCTGGAAATTCCCCAAACACATGACACCACGGCATTGGAACATCACTTCGACTGCTTCCTCCAATGCTGAGTTGCAGTTTGGCTGCTCTGGAATCTGTTCCCATCATAACGAGTCCCAGACCCAATGAACGAAAGCAATTTCGCACAAATCGCACTTTTTTTAAGGACTGGTCTGAAATAGCAATACACTCGTCCAGAATAAACACTGGTCTGTGTTGATGGATTCCTTTGGAAGTCATCAGCTCTTGGACATCTTTGCCAGTCTTTGGGCCAATACTGACTGTGGGTGACTGAATTTTGTTGGATAGCAGTTCAAAAATAAATCCATACATATATAGACTTTCTTTGAACAGCGAACCACAGCTTGGAGATGAAGTTTCAGAAGTGTACATGTGCTCATCTTCTACATAACATTTGCTGAACAACTTTGAAATGTTTTCAAAGTTGCGGTAGATTCTTTGTGATGTCGAACCGGGAGGATCGAACAGGAGATAATGCACTCTCCTCCGATCACCAATATTGGCTTTGATATTAAAGCCCATCTGACTCTTTCCTGAGCCAGATGAGCCCTCGAGAAATGCAAACGGTAAATTTTTGAAGCTTGACCCCGAAAATTCTCCAGCTGTGACTGCAAGGATAATTTTTACAATTTGCACGACACAGTCGTCATCTTTTAAAGAATCGGCAATGTGATGATACTTTAAAAGTGACACAGTGGTTTCGGTATCTGCAGTTTCTTCGAATGTTCCTGAAACCATTCCGGTATTCGAACCTACTGGAGCTCCTGACATTGAATTAGAGATGCCTTGTCCAGTACCATTGTTGGCCTTGATGACAAGCGGTTGGTTGTAGGAACCAACCGGCTCCTGAATGGAGGTCAACAGAGTATTCCCAGCAATGGCTGGACCATCCACCACATAATGGATGGTGAGGTGTGCTAAGGAAATCCCGTCAAGGAGGGGAGTGGTGGCAGTCTTGTAAGCAGCGACCAAGTCAGCAACAGTAAACAGGGTTTGAAGCCAGACAAAAGTATTGGTGTTGAGAATATGAGTTCTCAAACCAACTGGCTGGTTGTGGAGGTATTGAATGTAGAATTGTCTGTTTTCCATTGAAATTATGAAATAAAAGAGATATGGTAAAAAGAAATGGAATAAAGTGGAGTAGAATGAAGTGAGTAGAATAAATAAGAATGGAATGTAATGGAATGGAATGAAGAAAGGAAAAAATCCGACTTTAAATCCAAAATTTAATTGTTTGAAACAATGTGAAACAAATTCACATGCTTTGAATATTAAACATTTTTGTGTGAAATTAAAACTGTCAAATTGTATTAATTTGTCATGTATTCAAATTCACACACTTTGAATAGTGTTTAGACATTTGTCATGTGTTTATTTGTATTGTTCAATCGAGTGTCAATTCAACTCAATTGATTACATTTTAATATTCAATTATTGTTAATCAGTCAATTGTTGGATTAGTAAATATGTTACAAAACATTCATTTACATGCTGAATCTGACAAGTGGATAATGATTGTTCCAATCAACAATTGGATTGAACTGACTGCAATATTGTCATTGATTGCAGTCACTGTTGACCAATACACTGTAATACATTGACAGTTTCGGCATCAACATTGTCATTCATGTCAAGTTGTGTGTAGTTGCCAACATCACACCACAGCAATACTGTTGCTCTTGGAAGTATGACAACATATTAATGTAGTATAGTTTTGGAGGAATATCAAAAGTAAAAGATGAGAATGAAGGAATGAACCAATGAGTTAATTGTGTTGTTTATTGATAAAAGAAAACATTGATCATTTTATAAGGATGTGGATAACGGCTATGCGTATCCGTGAATTAGACGTCATAGCTGAGAAAGTCTCTTGTTATTGCACAAGTGATGGCTGCGATAGACATCGCCTCAAACATATATGCGTCGTGTGAGTCTCTGAAATATCTCGTTATTTATGATATTTTCACATTACCAATGTTTAACAACTCTGACACAGTAATGCGGACTCGTGCACCGAGTTGAGTTGTCCAGCAATCGATTTTGGAAATGTGTTTGATGTGATGGTTTGAGATGGATGCCAAATGACCACGAATGTTACCAATTGTCATGACAGTTGATTGTTGATTCAAAACGTTGTTTGTTTGGTATTAATGGTTAGAGTGTCACTCATTGACCTGTCAGATCAGCAAGTGTTATTTTGGTGAGTTTCGTGTTTATTGTAGTCACATCAACATCAGCAGATTGCACTACGGATTTGCTTGACAGAGTTGCAGATCCAGTTGGATTGATAGACGAGCAACTGTGCAAACAACTGTGCGAGTTGCAGGATGTTTGAGATCCAACAAAACACTGTTTGCACACAAGTTCACGAATGCAGATTGTCAGACTTGACCATCAACTCGCAGTATAAATTGCGTGTACGACAGTTTACACGCTTACCCATCAACAATAAACCCACATAATCAGCAAACCGTCAACGAGCAGCCAGTTCAGTGGTCGGGTTGATGGTTTTTGTTGGAGTTTCTGGATCAAACTTGACCTGATTTGTACCGAGTTGGGTCATGACTACAAGTTTGACAGCAATAGATTGATCTACTAATAATCTGATCGTGTTGTTGATTGTATGCATGTTGGTAATCCGTTGCAGATTGATACGGAATGTGACCAGAATACCACAAAGTTTATTGAGTGTGCACATTGCATTCGATGCAAAACGCAATAAACAAATGCGAGTTGCAGCATTCATTCAAGGTTTGACACCAGTCGATACAGCATTGACCACAATGGTATTTATGTCAACAATTGCACGATTACGGAATAAGTTGATTGTTGCTTGGCATTCCGTATCGACAGTCTGCGTGTGTGCAACGTGCTGTTGTCGCATATGAACAACTTGGATTGACTTTGTGGACAAAACACAGTCACTGTTGCGGTGATGTCCACAGTCGTGGAAATGGTTTCGAATACCACAACTGGTATAACAACTGCATGTGTTGGTGAGCAACCAGAGTCCAGTTTGACCAAGATCTGTCCCAGTAATGATCGAATGACACTGTCGTGTTTGGTCATCATGACAACAATGTCATTGGTTTGACTCTGCAACTGACCAAATGCGCTAGTGACAGCGTTTTCAATTGAGTTCATATTACTTGTGAGAATCGTGAACATATGATGGCATATTGATGGTTGTCATTATTGTCAAGTGTGTTGCAGTTGATCAAGGATGTAAAGGAATGAATCAATATTCGATTGTGTTGTTTATTAACAAGTGAGTGAGTGTGTTCATAAGATGGAAGAAACCAAGAAAGTCATGTGAATCCCAGTTCAAACGTCATTGTTGATGGTTTTTGATTGTTAAACTATTCAGAAATGTCTCACATTCACACACTACTAATGTCTCACACAATGCAAGTCAACACTCTCACACTAGTAATGTCTCACATTAATGAGACATTAATTCTGATGTAAATTTGACTAATTTCCAAATATTTCAATCGTGTGAATTGTCTTGAAATATCCCAAAATTTTGTTATTTTGACTCGATTAAAAAGTCGATTTTTGTTTTACAATTTGACAAATAAATTGCTTTTTTACTCTTTTTTCTTTTCATAAAATGCCAAAACGATTCCTCAATGTTGAATACGACACACTTACTGCTGAAATCGATGTGACTGACTTTGAAGACCTGAGTGACATTCAGGATGCTATCAAGTCTGAGTATGGTCCTGCTATGGCTGACATTGATGCTCCTCAACTGCAACTATACACCAACACCAACAAGGACCAACTAATCAACACCTGGGCTTTACTCGACTCCCTTCCTCAATAATACTTTACTCAAGATGGTTCTTGTGTTGTTATTGGTTGTTTACCACCACCTTCAAGACAGCCTACTCAAACTGACCTTTTTGCCGCAGGTTCTACTTTAACAGCAGGATACAAGAAAAGAAGAACAAGTGAATGGGAGAAAGTATCAACACTTGCTCAACTTTCATACGACCCAAATTTGACCATTTTCAAACTTGACACAAATTACTTGGCCAAGACTGGTCTATCTACTCAAAAACTCATTCTTTATTGCCGTCCAACTTTTCATGAGCAATTCAGTTTTTTACGGGAAAAAGTCATTGATAATGGGGTTCTTGGTTGGATTCTAGGACCACCAGGAACTGGTAAGTCAACTAATGTTCTGGCATTTGCCTCAACTCTGGACAAAAAGGACTGGGTTGTTACTTGGATTCATTTGTACATAGATTGTTATCCAGTATGTGTTCGTTTGGAGGGCGATTCAAAGAAATCCCAGGAAATCTACGACAGCAATATCGACAAACTTTTTGATATTTTGCATAAAGTAGATGAATCAAAACAACACATTGTGTTTATTGATGGATACACTTCAAATGGACAAAAACACATTGATGTACAGCAAGCTTGCTATTCATGGCTCGAAAAAGACCGAAAAAAAAGAAGATTGGTTGTCGTTTGTTTGATGTCTTCACGTTACAAAGCAAAGTTGGAGGAAGATATGCTGTTGAATCTCAAACAATTCAACGTCTATTCTTGAAAGGAAGAATAGTATATTCATGCTGTTCAAAATGACGAATTTTTTAACCATGTCAAGGCTGTTTTGGATTCTGATTTACAGATTGATTCGTCTTGTGAAGACTTGGTCCGTTCTAAACTATACTTTGCGGGTGCTTCTGCCAGATGTATGTTTCTTTTTGCGACCAAAGATGTGATCCAACAAACATATGGATTAGTCACTTTTGTCAATGATATTTTTCCATACGTCAAAGGCACAATAGGCGACCAGTCTAATAATGTCGTGGATCGTCTCTTCAGTTCAAGTTTAGTAGAGAATGATGTGTTCCCTCGAAAAACATCTATTGTCAGTCGATTTGCCGGGGTTATGTTGGCCATCAAGAAAGGACCAGACCTGATTCGTAAATTGGCCAAAGCTACTCGGCATGATGGAAATCCTTCTATGGATGGTTGGATGTTGGAAATGTGGTTCTTTGCCAGTCTTCATTACGACGGAGTAAAATTGTTT